CTAAATTTCACATGTGCAAAGCAGAAATGTGCATAAATATTTTTTTCTTTGTCAAATTTATAAAACCTTTTTTTTTTAATGGATCTGCGCACACATGCACAATCATTTCAGCTCCTACATACTTAAAACAACAGTGTTGGCACCAGCAGGTTCTCGGGTTCCTGGAACAGGCACCGGCACCCTTTTAACCACTGCTCTGAGCATGTCCCAACCCCCTCCGGGGTCCATTAGATATTCTTTTGGAGAAGACATACACTGGATGTACTACATTAAGAGGTCTAAAACCTTTCACTAACTTGCATCTTATCCTCACATCATAGTCCCTTCAATGTAAGATGTGAAGAAAAATAAAAAATGTGAGAGAGGAATCAAGGAAACATTTTCAGAGATGTGAGATGTCCTTTCCTTCGATACATCATCTGGAGTGATGTCAGTATCGGATGACAGTGGCACAGCTGTATGATAGCTGGATCAGCTGCTGGTCTGCAGGTGTGAGGAGCTGTGCATGCCTTGGAGTTTTTATTATTATATAAAGTACTTGACAAAAAGAATTGTAAAGTATCTCTGAATGTTTCCCCTTATAAAAGTTTGACAAGGATCTAAACATTAATTAAAAACCTGTTATTTATTGCAAACAGATCCACTACACTGAAAGCACTTGAATCAACAAGGCTTTGTTTATTATGGTTTCAGTGCTGAAAAACTGTAGACTTTCTGATTAGAAGCTTATATTTGATGAATAATCTAAGTTCTTTCCTTTTTAATCAGACCTACACCTTGTACATATCCAATCATTTTAAATAAATGGTGATTCAGAACACACAAAAAAATCTAAATTTGGTGGTGATATTACACCTGTGTTGAATCTGGTTTTTGTCCTAGTGTAATACAGTAGTGATCAGTCCAATCAGCTGTAGTGTTCAGTCACTAACTGATTTATAATAAAGTGGTTTGTCAGATCAATCAAAGAATGAAGGAAGGGTGGTCTCGTGTCCTTGTTCATGTCAACTCCAGGGACCCTCCAGACATGACATGAAATGAAATAGATAGATAAACAGATACACCTTCCAGGTCACCCAAGAAATGAGGGGACTTAAAATAAGGGAAGCACTGACTGTCCTTAGCAACATTCTGCAATAGTACCCCCCCCCCAAATATGTAAATTAACTAAAATAAGAAAAACAGAAAAATATAATGTCAGAATAAAAAAAGTAAACTTGTGCCAAAGGAAAACTGCACTTGAAGCTGCATAGCCATTTTGCTGAAGCTGAATGTCTGAAATGCCACAGTACTTTAGATGTTTCTTAGTGATTCCAAATAAAGACACCACTGCTGTTCCAAAACAAAATGGCTAATAGTAACATATGGTTATAGAAACATTTATAGATTGACACTGTCTTTATCTTTCTGACCCCGCAGAAGCACACAAATAAGATCTAATGATCTACAGCAGCCCTTTTTCTTCCTCAATAGCACATGGGATAAATGGCGAGAGGGGAGTTTTTGATGGAGCACAAAGGATGTGTTATCTGTATTTGTTCTCTGACACAGCCTTAGCCTTAGGAAGGCAAACATTAGCAACCGTCTGGCTCATCATAACACTGTGAAAGAAGGGAGGAGGAACACTGCTCAGCTTTCATTAGCTCGTGTTGATTTGAGCTTCTGGGAGGATTTGTTACTGATGCTATGTTGATTGCCTATGGCCTGCGGCCCATGTGTTAATATACTGTATTAATCTGTGTACTCTCAATGCATGACATCAACACCATAGTAATAATATGGCCATATACAACTAACAATTTGACCACATACTGTAATCTAACACAGTTTGTATCACTGGAATTTGCCAGCAGCTCCAACAGATGATTAATTAAAAGAAAAGTACAGCACTCTGACTGGACTACAGGTGTCATGATTCTGCCCCACTGCTTCTGGTTTCATGCTTTTATTTTGACACTACTTCTGGTTACAGTCTCATCTCAGGTACGGACTCTTTACCCAAACCAGTGTCAATTGCTTGCACCTGTTTTCACCTCTTTATAGGCAGTTTCCTCCCACCAGGAAGCTGCCAGATTGTTCTAACTCATGTTCAGAGTCTCCAGCGTTTTTCCTAGTGCCTGTTGTTCCAGTTCTGACCCCGGATTGCCTTGTAACCACTGAGTACTGCCTAACCCTTTTGATTCTGTTTGGATTCTGTGTACCGACTTGTGGACTTCCCTTACTGATCATTCTTCTCGTGGATACCTTGGATGTGTTAGTTTGCTGGCTCTGAGCCTGGACTGGATTATTGACCTGAGAGAGTTACATGTTGAATCAGACTCCTGCATTGTATATCGTGTATTTCTGCCCAGTGCTCTGATTAAAGAGACAGTGTTATGTTTATCCTCGTCTGGCCTTTTAATTGAGTTCACCTCAGACATTATCAGCAGCTTTACTCACAGATCCTGACAGCAGGAGGCTTCAGTCCTGGGCGAGGCCAGAGTCTTGGTTCTCTGACCTATCATACCTGAGCTCTTTCCACTCTGTAACCAGAACAAACTCTTTAATTGGGTTTAGAAACCATGGACACAGCTGCCCTGTTAGCTAGTAAGCTAAAAGCAGAGGTGATGAGGCAGAATGAGGTGGCCTCAGTTTTGCAGTGACTGAGACGTCTCAGCCACTAGAAAGAACTGAAGCGCATGTGACTGACAGTCAGGGGGAATAAAATAATATAATAATATTTGAAAAAGGGCATTTTCACTGTCTCTTAACATGGTTTTACTTCACTTAAACCGAAGTATTTCAGAGCACAAAAAATGCTGTATATGTTGTTGCAGCAATGTAGAGACCTTCTGTCAGTATCCAAAAGTGAGACCTGATTGTATTATTACATCTCAAGAGGGTGCTGTTAATCTCAGCATCTAGTAGTCATTTGTTAAAGTCTTGTATTGATGTTACTATTTAGTTGTGATGGAAGAAGTGTTCAGATGCTTTACACAAGTACCAGTACAGTAACATAAAATACTTCATTACCATTAGAAAAAAAAAGATCATGTGGAAATTTTTTAGAGACAGGTATGTGTTCAGATGCTTTACACAAGTACCAGTATAGTAATATAAAATACTTTACCATTAGAAAAAAAAAAGATCATATGGAAATTTTTTTGAGAAAATAAGTGTCATTCTTAGACTTTGGAGCTTATTCTGGCAATAAACAAGCCTTGCGTTTTTTGCTAGGAAGAAACAAATCACCCAGTGCAGCAGTGTGGCACGCTGGTGTGTTTTTAATAGTTTTTGAACAATAGAGGCACAAACCAATAAGCTAAACCAGGGTCTGGAGTCACAGACGTTACAGTGAGTACACAAAATGTATTGCTGGTTTTAGTCTCTGCATGGGATTTGTGGAAAATCACACAAGTCCCCCAACAGTTCAGAAGCAGTATACTGTAAGTAATAAAAAATGTTGTTTTAAAAATGAAAGCCTATGTAAAGCTTTATGAATTCTACATTTCTTCTTCTTCCGGCTGTTCCCATTAGGGGTCTCCACACCGAATCATCTGTTTTCACCTAACTCTATCTCCGGCATCCTCTACCCTCACACCAATTAACTTCATGTCCTCTTTTAGCACATCCATATATCTCCTCTTTGGTCTTATGAATTCTACATTTATTGTTTAAAAAAGACTACACTCCAGGTATGAGTCAGATGTGCTCAGCCGGGGTTTGACAAAGTCAAAAAAGGACCTTCGTACTCTGAAAGATGCCTCAAATTTAAGTTTTATTCTTTATCTTAAATATCACATAGCTTACAGAGAACAAACATTTTGGTATAGCTGCTAACACTGAAGAAGGAGACAAGTATACAAGACAGTGGTGACAAGTCCAGGCTTCAGAATAAGCCTTCACAAACCTGTGCAGTAGGATTCACTAGGTTAACAAGCCAACCTGGCCTTTATCTTATTCTCCCTGACCATTTGACACTGGACCATACAGGCCTCACATTGTGACTTTCCATAGCATGATAAGCAGGGGTGATAAATATTAACTGATCCTAGTGTGCTAGTTCAAGAATACTGGCTCTATATGAGCTCTATTAAGGTGCTTCATTTAAAAATACACATTTGTCATTATTTGCAAATGTGCTGTTGCCATTCATAAAAAGGCATTTAACCACAGCATCACCCAGACAGATTTAACTCAATCACTGAAATGATTTCTTCTTCTACAGTAGGTTTGTCTGCTAATTTGCAAACCTAAAATTTCAAATTTTCTAAAAAGGTTGTTTGAAAAATTTTCCACAATAAGAAAATAAACAAATTTTAAAACATCAATGCATTGTCAACTTGTACCACTCAAATGTTTTGCACAAGTGATCACCTCAGCCTGTAGATTACCACGACTGAACCCAGCACCAGACTGATCCAAACCACATGCATCTACTAAGACATGAACATCCATCCATCCATCCATTTTCTTCCGCTTATCCGGGGCCGGGTCGCGGGGGCAGCCAGTAAATCGAGAGCTTCGCCTTACAGCTCAGCTCCTTCTTCACCATGACGGACCGGTACATCGACCGCATTACTGCAGAAGCTGCACCGATCCGCCTGTCCATCTCCCGTTCCATCCTTCCCTCACTCGTGAACAAGACCCCAAGATACTTGAACTCCTCCACTTGAGGCAGGAACTCTCCACCAACCTGAAGGGAACAAGCCACCCTTTTCCGACTGAGAACCATGGCCTCGGATTTGGAGGTGCTGATTCTCATCCCAGCCGCTTCACACTCGGCTGCATAACATAAATTTTAAATATTTTCTTGAGTCTAAAAGAACTAAAATTGTTTTTAGAAAAGAAGAGAAAGGTCATGATAAATTGCATGAGGCACAAACTTAGTCAATAAAATATTAAAGAAATAATTTATTTTTATTTTTTAAAAATTCCAATTTGATCAGCTTAAATAAGAAAACATTCTCTTTCTTTGTGTATGGAATGAGGATGTGAATCTTTCACTCAACAAAACTCAGAAGGTTATGGAATAATAGAACTAATCTCAGGAACTATTATTATTATGTTTTATACTTAATATCCACCAGAATTGCACCTTAATGTATAGTTTCCACAGATGATCCACCTAATTTACAGTATGCATAAGTCTTTTCTACTCTGATCATACTCACCTTTGTATGTGTTTTGTCCCAAGGGGCCACCATAGTATGCATCTCTGTCACTGATCATATCTGGACAGGGCTGGTGAAGACAATCGTGTCGGATTCAAATAACTAAAAAGAACTCATGTTGTTCAGGGAAGCAAAGGTTTGATTTGCAGAGAAGACTGGTGGTTGGTGAAGGGCTGCTTGTTTTCTGTCACCATCAACCAATTATCATCTTTAACTGCATCAAGAATAACTGAAAAGTTCTTGACCTGTTCACTGTATAGACTAGGAATCTAAGGGCATACTCGCACTAAGCACAGTTGCCTTGTACCCTGCCTGAGTGTAACTGTCGCTTCTACACCATGTTCCCTAGCTAGCCTGCTTTTACATTGCACTGGATTATGGCTTTCAGTAAGACATGGCTCACATCCACAGACACAGGCTCAGATGTGACAAGCAGTGGCTTCAGAACTCCCATCAGACTAAACAAGGACATGAAGGCTACGGGGAAATCCCAGGGAGGTGGGGTGTGGGTGTATATAAATCAGAAGTGGTGCAATAATGCCATCATCGGGGAGTCCACATGCACAGCTGGCAGTGATTTGTTGTCCGTTTTAACCTCCCAGGGAGTTTCACCAGGTATTTGTGACAGTGGTACTATATACAGTGGTGTGAAAAAGTGTTTGCCCCCTTACTGATTTCTTATCTTTTTCAGTCTCTTTCTTATGGTGGAGTCATGAACACTCAGCTTAACTGAGGCAAGTGAGGCCTGCAGTTCTTTGGATGTTGTTGTGGGGTCTTTTGTGACCTCTTGGATGAGTTGTCGCTGCGCTCTTGGGGTAATTTTGGTCGGCTGGCCACTCCTGGGAAGGTTCTCCACTGTTCCATGTTTTCGCCATTTGTGGATAATGGCTCTCACTGTGGTTCGCTGCAGTCCCCAAGCTTTAGAAATGGCTTTATAACCTTTTCCGGACTGATAGAGCTCCATTATTCTCTTTCTCATTTGTTTTTGAATTTCTTTGGATCTCGGCATGATGTCTAGCTTTTGAGGATCTTTTGGTCTACTTCACTTTGTCAGGCAGGTCCTATTTAAGTGATTTCTTGATTGCGAACAGGTGTGGCAAGAGAAATTGAACTCAGGTGCGATAAACCAGTGTTTTGACAGGGGGGCAAACACTTGTTCACACAGGGATCTATAGTTTTGGATTTTGTTTTCCCTTAATAATAAAAACCTTCATTTAAAAACTGCATGATGTGTTTACTTGTGTTATCTTTGACTAATATATAAATTTGTTTGACGATCTGAAACATTACAGTGTGACAAACATGCAAAAAGATAAGAAATCAGTAAGGGGGCAAACACTTTTTCACACCACTGTATACACTGTATATTCACCCAAAGCAAGTGACCAGATTGCGATGCCCACCATCAATATAATGACTAGACAACTCCAGGCCTTTTCCCCTGATGGTTGGTAAATGTTAATGGGAGATTTTAAATAAATCCCAGAATCTTTACCAGGACGTCTTCTACCCAACTAGTCATCTCCCTCACCCCCACGGTTCCTCTGATCACAGCACCCTCTATCTCACCTTTATATAAATAGAAGGAGAAGGTGAGGACAAGGTCTGGAGTGAATATACAGTTTCTGAATTACAGAAATGCTTTGACTGTACATATTGGTCTGTGTTTAAGGACTACACATCAAATATGGATGAAGTCACTGATAATATTTTTTTGTGTGAACATACTGTCATTTCCAAGAAGTATGGTAAAGTGCATCCTAATAACAACCCATGGGTTACTAAATGTTATTAAAATTGCACCAGATAGAAAACACTGCGCATTCTTGAAAGGTGATGAGACAGAGAAAAGAGAGGCAAGGAGAGGAGATCAGAGCAGAAATAAAAGTTAAAATAAAAATAAATACACTAAGTTAGAGGAAGAATGAAGGCAGCATGAGGAAAATGAGAGGCCAGCAAAAAGAAACTAGAGAAATGCACTTCCTGTCGTAAATGCATGTGGATGCTGATATGCTGAAAGATCATCCTGAAAATGCTTGAAATCAATTGCTGAAACAGCTGAAAGATGAAAAGAAATGGCTGAAGATCTTTGTTGAATAATCTGAAGGATGAGATGCAATAAAGTAGGAATGGCCTTGAAGAGCTGAACATTTTGATACCTGAATGGCTTTTCTAGCTGAAAGTATGCTGAACCTATTGTAACCCTTGTATGGGAGACACTTAAGGCCAGACTACTCTAAGTCCGTTGACTGAATAATGACAGGGACACTCATGAATAACTGGGACACACCAGATTGCAGTCAATAGGCAACTGTATTAACAATGCAGCAACAACAACAATTACAACAATGACAAGGATGATTAAAGCC